GCCTAGTATCATCAACATTAAAGTGTAGTTTGGTTCTCTCTTTCGTAATAACATAGGAAATTCCTTCGATATGAGACTTTTCTCATTTCCGCGAAAATAAATGTCCATTTCTTTTAATAAACCTAACTAAAACGCTGATTTTCCTAACGAAAAAGCTTCTACAGAATGGAATGAACGCAGTTAATCACAATAGCGTTTTCAAACATATACTAAACTGTCCAGCCACATTTCATAATTAGCGTTGCATGGTCATTGGCGACTACTGTAGATGATTTTTTCTGCCAATAGGTAGCAAGAAAACATACTTGGTGGTAATTTGCGCCCCCTTCGAATTTAATATTTGAAAAAAAATATATCTTTCGGTTTTAAAGATGTTTATAACTTGCCAATAATTTTGAGCCCTACCGGCCGTAACACTTGAATTCTAGATTTCCAAGTTACATGCTGTGTAAATTCTGTTTAAGGAAAAGTAAATATTTCCGTGAAGTGTGCGGAAGAAACCACACAGTTCTCATAAAATGTTCCGATGGATGTGAACTTTGTTGTATAATTTGTAATCACCATTAAGAAATGGACAGATATGCTAGTTTATGAATGTACATTTTACGTTCATAAAAAATTCTCATAAAAGGAAGGTGTAACATCCTAAGAAGTCATTATTTTCTACATAACGAGTATAAGCAGGCATACTTTAGTGCATGTTTTCAGTGAGATATAGTTGAATTTATAATTCCAGTGAAAATTAATAAGTCAAGGTGCATAATACCTAAGTAGCCATTTTTGAGTGCACACATTTGTAGGCGATAGGCAAGAGGCCTTTTCGGCAGCCGCCTTTCCGACGTGACCAAAATGTATTGAGTTTCGGCTGCATGATTATTCTTATTAAAACCACACTTTATTCATATGTTTAAATCGAAAAAACAGCTCAGAATTTCGGTTGACCTTTCATGAGATAGGAAATTAACTGAGTTTTGAGTTTACTCGAGTTTTGTCAGTCTGATCATTGCAGCAGCTCCCATATTCAGTCGTGGTGGCAGGGGGGAAGAGAGTGAGGCGGGCGCAATACATGTGTCCAGTAGCGCATACAGGACAGCACCGAATTCGTGCAACATGCAGCCATTTGCGAAACGTCGCTACACATTCGCTACTCGGCATTCAGTAGGGCTGCAATACTAATTATCGTGTAGTCTACTTTCAAGTCATTTCAGTCACGATAAGATGCCAACTTTTTAACGACCTACTGTCTGACCGCTAACAAAAAGTATGTACTACAAAAAATGACTACTTAATTAGTATGCATGTAAGAAGCAGTAACTTCTGTAGGAGAGGGGAATTAGCCGAATATGCACCGTTAAAGGCCCCCCCCAGATTCCCACGGATGACTTGCAAAGAAGATATATGCGCTATTGCAAAGGCAGTACTTG